TAGTGGAATCGCTCCACATAAAGCAATTGTCAATTTTTATGGTTAAACTTAACACATTTGAAAGTGTTTTTGCCAGAAGAAGTGCTGCACTAAGTTCCAATTTGAGTATTGTGAGGGGCTTAACTGGCGCTACACGACTTTTTGAAATCAATAATTCAACATGGACAGTCTGATCAGAATTGGTTACTCGGAGATAAATACAAGTTCCGTAAGCCTTCTGTGAGGCGTCTGAAAAGCCATGAAGTTCCATCGCATCGGAAGAGAAACTTAACAGGATACAAAACGTGGAATTTGTAGGTCGTTGAATTTCAAAAGCTTTGAATTGAAAGTACGCCATTTCTGGGAAAGATCGTCAGGTAAGTCTTGGTCCTATGATAACTTGAAAAGCCAAAGTGATTGTGCGACATAATTTTTGCCACTACAATTACTGGCCCAAGAAGCCCTAATTGATGAAACGTTTTTGCTATCATGGATAGCATCAAACTTTTGGTAATCCTTTTTGTGTTGGGTAGAGGACTAGTTATTCGAAAGGAAAAACAGTCATATTTGCACGACCAAAGTAAACCAAGAGTTTTTCCATTTTCTAACGGTGAAAAATAAAAAGTGTCTGATGATGCGTTCGATTTCAAATTGTTTATAACTTCTTCGGAATTGGATCTCCATTTTTCTAATTCGAAACCCGCTGATTTTAGTATGGAAAAGAGTTGATCATATATCGCAATGGTATCACTTACTGAATCACTATCCGATAGGACATCATCGATATAGAAGTCTCGAAGTAGTACTTGGGCTGTTTGAAGATTCATTTTCAAGTGCAAATTGTTTTATACAGCGAGTGGCTACGAATGGAGCACTTGCAGTCCTCCTTCACTAAAATTTGTCGATACAATTCACAAATGTCAGCAGTGAAAAGGTAGGCATGTTGACGGAACCGAATACGAATGGATAGTAGATCATCTTGGACAACTGGTCCGAGCATTTGAATACTATTGTAATAATATCGAGTTGAAGACATTGCACTGCTATTGAAGACAACACGAAGTTTTGTTGTTTCATTGTCTTCTTTGAACACGCCGTGATGTGGAGAGTTATAACAAATTTGATTGTCTGTTGGTTCGAATTTGCTCATGTGATTTAGATTTTTGTATTCAGTCATAAAGTCAATATACCTACATGGATTTTAATTCGAGATTTTTCTCTCTAGCTCAAAAATAATTGCCTTTTTTGCATTTTGTCGGGATTCGCCAAGTATACTAGCTGGTTTTTTTTAGTGGTATTGGAACCACAAAATGACTCTCTGAATTCCGATTCAATGTATCTGAGAAATGTTTCTCATCAAGATTCTCTTCGTTGAAAGGAGTGCGATAATCTGTGGCGATCTCTTCCATTTCTCAGAACTTGGCCAACTGACTTTGAATACCTAGTGTGTTTGTGAAGTGGCATGAGGTGACTGTTGGCACTACCTTGAATTTTGTTGCATTAACAGGACCTGATATGATTCATCCAAGCTTGGTATTCTGGATAAAAGGTATTTTTTTTCCTAAAGGAAAGTATTCGGAGATTTTAAACTCCAAAAGGTGTCCGCGCCTATTAAAAGATCTATTTTACATGGTTTAAAGAATTCTGGATCTGCAAGGCGAACATATTCGGGAATATTGAAACAATCTGGGTAGATTTATGCCATTGGAATTTTATCAGTGATTTCTGGAATTATTAAACATTGAAGTGGTACAGTGGATTTTGAATTAAAGCATTGAACGTTGATGTTGCAAGAATGTTTCAAATGTGACTCTGAATTACCTTCACCTTTTACTGCAAAGTTTATTTTATATTTCCAATTTCTCAGCAAAGTGATTGATAATGAAGTTTGACATGGAACTGTTATCGAGTAGAGCCCTGCAAACCAAATCAGTGCCTTCACCATCTAAAACCTTAACTAGAGCGGTAGCGAGTAAAAACTTGGCCTGACGGAGCATAATTACACACACTGTAAACTCGAGTAGCTATCTGATCCTCCTGATTATTTTCTGAAAATGAATTTTTTCGAAGGACTGAAGCATTAACTACAGAAAGATCATGTAACAAAGCATTGTGTTTTCCACTACACCTTTTGCAATGACCTTACTTGCAACCCTCTAAAGAATGACGACGCTGCAGACAGTTTGGACACAATTTTAGTTCCAAAACCTTATCTCGTCTCTGAAATTCTGTAAGAGAAAGAAACTGAGAACATGATTGTATTCCATGTTGTTTTTGACATAAATAGTAAGCAAATTTACTTTTTTGAGTTTGTTTCCTGGGTCAATCCTTCAATCCAAAAAGTCGGCCCTGCTTTTTAAAAATGTTTTGATTTGTTCAAGTGTAGGTAATTCGGCCTTCAATTTTTGCTGTTCCCATTCTCTAAGTGTTTCTGCATTCAACTTGTTAGTGACCAAACATATAACTAAAGGATCAAAGTTTTCAAGACATTTTCAATTTTTTGACATTGATTCGAAAACAAATCGAAGCGCCCCTGAGGAGTCTGACTTTATGCCATGAATATTGAAGAGTGCCTTTAAATGTTTATGCATTAGTTGTTTTTTGTTGTCACCCTGCTGCACAAAGTATCCCAAGCAACACTGTAGTTTTGCTCAGAAAAATCAAGAGCACTTAAACACTGAGCTGCAGAACCTTCCAGATATGAGCGCAAATAATGAAATCATTCAATGGTTGTTAGCGCGGGATTATAATTTAGCAAAACAAAAAGATCTTTAAATTCAAACCATCGCTCGTATGATCCTGAAAATTTTGGCAATGGTATTTTAGGAAGACTTACGCCTAATGGTGGATTGAAAGATTGAATACGTACTGCTGTTATGAGTAAGCTTGGCTTGAACATTTACTTGAGCACTTTTTAATTGACTATTAATAATTGTAATAAAATGTTTTGCTTCTGAAATTATTGAAAAATATTGGCTTTCAAAATTCTCTAACTCTGTACTGTCATAGTTAGTTGAGTCTAAGGCTTGTAATTCAAAAATTCTTGAAGTAAATAAGATTCTAAACTGTCTATTCGCATTTGAAGTTCAGCTAGTTTTGGATTATCAAACTCACTCAGCTTCAGTTTTTGGAAAAAGTTAGAAAATCTGGATAAACTAGTTTTTAAACCTGCTCTTTTACGAACTAAAGCCAAAATTTCCTCTTGATCAGTGGGAAAATTCACTTCACTATTATTAGATGGATTATTTTTTGGTTTACTCTTTCTTCGAGACATTTTACTGGTATGTTATGAAAATTACTGAATGGGCAAACTTTTATAAGCAAAATGAGCAAAAAGTTTTAAAATTGAACCTGATTCAAGGAAAACGTTCTCTAAATGTATTACAAATTCAAGACTTTGATTTTAGCTACAATGAACCCTGGAGCTATATAGCACCTATCCTGATTCCTGATTCAATGTCTATCCTTGCTCTAGTTCAAAGTAGTTTTTCACAACAAAGGCTAATGACGTTTATCCATACTCTTCGACAATCACAATTGACAATTCGCAACACTCTTTCGAAGCCTTGAACTTCATTTCTCAATATTAACTGGAAAACTGGATGTAGCTTGCCCGAAATATCCGGTTTGAAGGCCAAATTTTATGTAAAGACTGGACGAACCTCGTTCTGGACAAAGACATGACAGGACAGTCTTGCAGGAAAAGGCAGTGGACTGTATAAAGGCAACGCATGAACTAATTGAAAAATGGTAAATATATTCAACCTTTCGCAACTACTTGACTATTGGGCTTGTAGCTGAATTAAATGCTTGTGTTCTTTCAAAATAGTATATTACATACCGAGGTGAGAGATTTTAGTTAACTAAGTTTAACTAACTAATCTCTCGACAGTAATGAAACTTCCTACCGAGGTTTGTATAACATTTTATTTACAACCATCGCAATTATTATTTAGTCAATAATTGCGATGGTTAATAATTTTGTTGACAAGTTCTGACTTATAGGACTTGTGTTTAACATTTAAGGAAATGAGGGCTTATTGTGAAAGTGAGCATTTTCCACCCGGGACCACTTTCCACCCGGGAGGAAAGTTAAATTCAAAAAAGTGTCACTTTCAAAGTTTTGAAAAATCAGAAATATCAACATTACGTATGTGTATTTAGGTGGAAAAGTGACACATTTTCGGCCGACGCCGACGGTGTAAGTTGACAAATACCGAAGGCCGAGAATGTGCTTTTCCACCGAAATACACATACTATTTTTTCTGCGATCGGTTAAATATCTTTTAAATGTTTGTCTTTTCTTTTTGTTCCAATTGTTCAGCAGTACGAGAATCACTTTCCCGGCGTAGGCCGGAAAAGTGATTCCCGTATTGTTATTTATTGATTCCTTAGCAACTATTGAAACATAATTGAAAAACCAGAATATTGAGTTTGGCGACCTGTCAACCGGTCAAAAATGTTTACATTTCTTGTCAATCGCAGAAAAACGTTTTTATCCAAAAGATGTCATTCAACATGATTCAACGTCATTTTTCACGTCAGTTCACCTCTGGAATCCGATGGGTGGTCTGCACGCATGCATTTTAAGTTTCAAATGAAGTCTGAATGAAGTTGAATATTCATTCTTATTGAATTTAATGGTCAACATCATTTTTTGAATTTAGTTGATTGAAGTAAATTTAAATATTGTATATATACCCATTTTCTTGCATGACAAACTCATCCTATGCAAGATTTTAACTTGCCCTTGAATCATTTCGTCAAGTCGTTTACTTTTTGGTTTGGGAAGTTCAAGTAACCGACAGGTTGAATTTCATGTGCAAAACAGCATTTCGTTCAAGGAAAATTTAAGACGTAGGAGCCCATAATATAAAAGAAGTGAAAAATAATGCAGCAGTACCTAAAATAGCCAATGGACAAGTACTTCTAGTATCATGACATAGGGGAAAATTGGATGTAATTAAAAGATGGCGTAGAAATAACATTGATACTTCTTAAATCTTAACTAGCATTCTTACCTCTGTATTTAGGCTTATCGAAAACAGCTCCGCCGGAACACAGGTTGGTCACCACAAGAAGCCACCACGACACAGTTCTTGTGGGCCCCATCGTCGAGGGGCCCATTTCGCTAACGATGCACTAAAGTTCCGCGATACCACACAATAACAAAGTCAAACAATGCACAATAGTTTGAGGATGGGTCTTGTAACTTTTTCAATAGTAAAATAATTATTTTTATAAAAATAATTATATTATTTGTGTTTTGCTATAGAAGAATCAAAATTTATTATTGTTATAAAGAATTATGGGTTGTTGAATGGGAAATAGTTAATAATTTGTGTTATTCTAGGTTCGAATGTTTCGTTTCATAGCGAGAAATGGATGATTAAAAAATTATACTTAGATTATAATCTTTTAAATAATATAAATAATCGCAAAGTAAGCAAAATTCCATGTAAATGAAACATCAAGGTAATTTTTAATCTTCGTTGCTTAATGTTAAAGTTTTATGGGAAAAAATCTTCAAAGTTTTACTTTCAGTGATTGTTTTTTGTAATAGTTGTTAAAAACAATCTAAAAAGTATATAATTTTATATAATATATTTTATTTTTAATACAATAACAAAACTGTACAGGCATAAAATAATAATTATTATTGAAATGTTAATATTTGCCTTTGTAAAACAGAAGTATTCAATAATACCTAGTTATTTTTTGTTTAATAAAATTTCTACTTTCGATAATATTTTGAAATAATTTACTACTTGTTCAAATATAATTATTTTAGGAGACAATATTTAATTTAAAATTTTCACACGACAATGGAAATTCATAACTTTTCAATGATATTTTTACTCACCTCAATTGATGCTTTACATTGAATATTTTATTTGTAGCAAATTTACAATTCTTGACGAAGCTCACTTATAAAACTCAACTGTCGACTGTTGCTTTTTCAGTTGCAACTCAATATCAACCCAAAAAAACTTTATTAATAAAGTTTAAGAAATAAAAAAAAGAAACAGTAATAAAACTGAAGTGCTCCATTACCCATCAGAAACATTTTGGGTTTGGTGATGTGATGAGTCTGGTGCCTGTCTGGTTGAGATATATTGCTTTTGATTTGACGCCAAGTCGAGATGTTTGATCGTTTTATGTATTTCCAAGAGGTTTTTTAAAACGATGAAAGAAATAGATAAACGGTTTTGGCGACTTAAAAAGATTTGTCTGATGCCTAGACATACATAAAACAGAGTGGGTAATTAAAATTAATATCTAAAAATCGTAGATTGAAGTTATTTCATTACAAAACGAACAACTACGTTAAGCATTTGAGTATTGTTGGAAACCCGGAGTTTTAGCTGGCTTCAATGTAGTAATCTCGGATTATTTCTAGGCCTTGTAACTATTATACGGTTAATAAAGTAAAAAGTAAAACTCGAAATTACTTGAAGGTTTAGTTTATTCCAACTCTGAACGAAACTGATTTCAGGTACATAGGTGCGACTGCTACCACCTGAATGTTCGCTAGCGATCTTACAAAGCGACTGCCTACTCCAATTCTAAAAATTAAATGTCACCTGAAGGAGAACTAAGATTATGATTCTCACGGCAATTCTCACCATCTGGAATAATAAAATTAGGTCTGGGAAAAGTAGGTACTCTATCTTTGGCGGCAAGAACACCCTCCCTGGGTTAGGTATATTTATTTATATCTATTTACAATAATTTGGGTTCCTGCAATAGAGGTACTGAGTACCGAGTACCGACAAATGGAAACATCTTGTTGAGGTATTTACATGAGATTGTAACATTCCTTACATCCTTAATACAGACGGGGTAGATGGTTCCCAAAACGGCACAACAATACACAAACCTGAGTATGTAGTTATTTGATGGAGAGGTACTATCAGGAACCTCTTGGGGGACGATTGAGATTCACAGGCCCCAAAAGCTCCACAAGCAATCTATCAGATCCAGGATTGAGCACCAGCAATTCAGCAATCAGGTGCTTTTGTGCATCTAACGACAGCAACAGCAGAAAGGGATGTAACGTTACCCAATATAAAAGGCCTAAAAGAGGGAATTCACACTATAAAATCTCGATTTCAACAAGAATTGAGGTAAGTACTGCAATCAATTACGTTTTTGGGGACATAAAACTCTAACAGGGATCAGAATACAGAATAAAATTTAAAAAAAACTTATTTTCCAGAATTTGGGTTTTTACGTACTAAAATCTTGTTAAATTAGCAAATACTTGCTTTGGTGTTATATAAGAATAATAGCCACCGTTTAAGCTCAATCATTTCCCAAATATTCACTGAAATTGCCTCAGAGGAAAGCTATAACGTGATCTGATTCTGGAAAAAGAAAAATTCCTCCAACAGTAGAATTTCTGGTTACACGAACCGGATTCTAGGGAATTTTTCGTTTATTTTTGGATAGTTTGAATTAATGCATATTGCCCATTCACCAAACAGATGGTGGAATTTGTTGAAGAGAGGAAATGTAGTGAACATAATGAACATAATTGTTATTAGTAAAATGATGAATTTACTGGTTCACAGCAGTAGATATCTTCTTGTCAGAAGTTTATGTTCTTGCTTCAATCTCTTTATGCGTTTAAAATTCAGAAAAACCAAATATAATAATAATTTTCAATAAAATGTAACAAGTCAAAAACTGAAATTGAGTGGATAAGGTAGGTAGTCAAAAATAGAATTGTTTTAGCTTCAAGTATCTTCGAGTTTTAATATTTTACGATTAAACTCATCGATGTTCGAAAAAAAGGTTCATATTGCGAGTATTGCGACGCCAAAAATGTAAAATCTATAATTGTTTCAAACTCTAAACCGCCTTTTTTGAATGAACAATTTGCACACCCACAGTTTTCATTTTACTCGTGTTTTGTTTATTGTTTGGCAAAAATAACAAATATTTAATTTTTCCACAAAAGCCTTCATACTGAAATATTGGATACAGTAAAAATGCATTTTCTATCGCTTTGTATTCGTAGGTATTTTTACTATTTATTTCAAATACACTCGTGGACAAAATCAGCGCATAGGCAAAACTGATTATTGTTGAAGTTTTGAGTCATTAAACATTTTATGTAGGTGGCCTACGACATCCTTTGTTTCCACTGATAAAAAATTGCGATTGTTCGACAGATGTGAAGTAAAGTTTCGCAAAAAATGCCTTGTAACCAATGACATACTAACACAGTTAGACATTACAGTACAAAATTTTGTGTCGCCAACATCCACCACCGGTGTATCCCCTCTAATTTGGTTGCTAAATTATTATCTACGGATTGATATTTTATCCTGTTATGACTATGGTCCAAAAAGTTGGAGGTTCAAGACTTACAACGACTACTGGCAACGCTGGACTATAAGACAGGCGGAACACACAGTGTAATCGATTGGTATGTCAACGCGCCCATAAAACTTATATCATATGAGTTTGAGGCAGACAGATAGATAAATGAGTTGCACCCGTGCGCATTTCTTCATTATTTTGGTCAAGTGAATGACGGGCTCAGAGGAGAATACGGGTCTTGTTTACACCACTGATGCATCCCTACCATAACCCCCTTCGAGTAGCTCACCTCTCCTGACCCATGTGGTGTCTATCTGTGTTAAGATGTCATTGTTTGTAACACACAAATATTCAACGCCATGATTCAAAATCAAATCAAAACATGAAGCAGTGGATGCGATAACTCTGGTTTACCAGGGCCGTGGCCATCAGTTCAACAAAGTTGAATTAATGTTCCTGTTATAACTCATTTTACCTTTATATGGCAATATTTTTTTATTTAGTTTGGTTGTCATGATGGGCCAGAAGCTTCATGTGAAAAAGAAGAAGTTAGGTTAAGTTAGACTAAAGGTGTTTTTTCAAGGTTGTTTGAGAGAGGTAGGTTGCCTGATAACTTTATGACGTCATCTGAGGTGCGAGGTGCCTCAACATAATGCAAATCTCCATAAGGCACCCCAGATGCGTCATCATTACCCATTACCAGGCAACCTATTACCTTTAAGAACCTTTGTTTTTTCTCGGTTAAATTGGTTAAACCAGGTTGAACCTAATTCAAAACATTATATTTTCACGTTGAACTAATTACGTCATAACAAAACTGTTTGAAAATATTTTGAAACAAGATTTCGCATCGGTTCAAAAACAAACGCATGCGCAATAGTTTATGAAAGTTGACAGTTTGTTGTTTATGTTTATACTTGTGTTGTGTCTTTTGAAAAAGGTCATAGAATCATAAACAGAACACTTATATTTTTTGAAAAAAAGGAAATAGGCTATGGCTAATAACCAGAAAAAAAAAACAAAGAAAAATCCTAGGTTACTTTGGTTTAATTCTTCTGGTTTGAAAACCTCATTTTTTCTCGAATTATTAAAGTAATGACGTCATTTTTAAGTAGGTTTAAAACAGATTTCAAAAACATTACGAACTGCTGGGGTCGAGAAAATAACTTCACGTTTTTTGAAGTTTGACAGTTTTGATTTTTCTGAGGTTAGAGTTTTGATTGTTTTGCAATGATGAAAAATAGAAAAATCTTAATTTTCATGAAAATCGCACCTGTATAACGTTTTTCTTGAGTCAGTATTCGCACAATAATTTTTATTATTGGATCGTTATGTTTGATTTCAATGTTGTGAATATGAACCTTGGTACCTATGTGGAAGTGATGGTTTTTTATTTTCCAAATTTGAACCTTCTGACCGGAGGCAACGAGTAGTTGTTTTCAACGGCGGACAAGACAGTTCCAATAAACTTGGAAGTTATTGAAGAACCCTAGGAAAAGTTCTTATGCAATTCGCCTCAAAAAACAGCCAGTTTGCCAGTTTAGAGTTGAGCAAAGCTGTTGAAGCAGCTTTATATTTCTGGACGACTCTGAACAGTAGAAGTAGACCAGTTTTTGCACCATTGTTCAGAAGGAAACTGGGACGTGAACGAATCTAGAAACAAGGATATAATGCCGTCGTCGATTTATAATGTTCTAAAGAGGAAATTGTTTGCACCCATTTGCTCCTCTGCGTAGAAAACATCTTAACGTGCTGATATTTGCCCCAATTTTATTCTTATGCAGGACAACGCTAGAGTA